TGGAGGGAGAGTCCCCCTCCCTACAGGAAGCCACGACCATGTGTCACAGCAGGGAAAATGGCTGTGGGTCGTGTTCGTCACCCGATGTGGAGTTCACGAATGGAAGCAAAATTTTGCGAATCGTGCTGTTCGTGAACTGAATTGTTCGTGAACAGAAGCATTCGTGAACCAAGGTATTACTGTATACTCTTCCAGGCGTGCATGAAGTCAAACAATGACCAGTTGGGTAAAACTTTATTTTATTCACAGTGGGTACAGGAGTGAAGAGACACCCAGTATTTATATACTTAGTGCATCAGCTAGGAGACCTCACTGCTGAAACTGGATGGTAAAAGTAAAGTCTAATTTTGTGCTAAGTCCCTACAGGACAGGGAATTTAGAGTTGGTTTCCAAGAAGCTATAGGTGGAGGAAAGGAAGATGGGATATAATTTCTCTTGATTTGGATACCTCAGATTTTGCAGTACTGGGGCTAATCAGGGATAGGCAATATTTGAAGTGGTAGATGGTTGCATCTGTGCTTCATGACTTTTAGTTATATGCCTCTCCTATCACAGAAAATGATGGGGTAGAAATTTGCAGCCGATGGTTTGATGCTTTTTCAAGGAAGAGAGAGGGATTGGGAGGTCCTTATCCCCGTCCCCTAATTGTGGAAATCCCACTTTTTAGACCGATTTTAGTCCATTTTTTAAAGACTGCCTTTTGGAGGAAGATGAAGAGTGGGGAATGGAAGTGAGAGGAAAACCACTCCCATCCCCACCCTTTCAAACCTTTCCAAACCTCACCAAATGCCCCCAGATCATCACTTCTTGCACCATTTTTGGAGATTTTAAATGTGGGAATGGGAGCGATTTGCCTCCCAGAGGGTCAGAATGGGGAGCATGTTAAAACCCTGAAAGATGTGAAAACCCAGGCTGAAATTCGCCCATTTGGGACCATTGTGGGAGATGGGGCTTAAGGATGCAGGTGAGAATGAGAGGCCTGTGAATCAGTCACTTCCACTGGTCACTGGTCTAGATTTACTTCTGGGTGTGGAGTGAAGCTGGGGGCAGTAAGGTGAAAAATGAGTGACATTCAGTGGAATCAAGGAGTTTGGGAATCATATAACATGAATTAAACAAGATTATGTTAGAACGCCTGATACTGAGGATTGGGGGAATAATAGGTGAGATTTCCTCATACATTGAAACTCTTCACAATATTGATCTCTCTGGAGGGGATTGCTGCCCAGCAAATATAACATATGCTGATTCCGCCTCCCCCCCCCCCCCAATTTTGG